TGCTTCTTGTGTACAATTAAGATTTGTTGCCCAATTAAAAACATTTTTATGATTATAATCAAATGAATGTATATCAAGATTATAATTTGTAATTAAAAATTGAAATAAATGAAAACGTTTTTTTGATGATAAAGAATCTTGTTGTTGTTGTAAGATATGTATGAGAAGATTTTGTCCCAATGTATTTTGTACATGAATATTATAACCACGTTCAACTAAATAAATAATTTTATTTAATTGATATTGTTCAATAGCCTCAACAAGTTGTCTTTCAGATTTGAATGCCATATGTTTTGTATAAAAAATATAATGACGGCACTGTATAAAAATTCATGATGGTTTTAATAGAGATTGATTTCATCGCAATAATCAAATAAGGAAGCATTAGAAAAAAAAAAGACTTTTATACAGGTGATGATTCAATCATGATAGAAACTTGATGAATATTTATAATTAAAATTTTCTTATGTTACTATATGACGAACTAACAACAAACAAAAAAAAGGTGCCTTGTACTGCTTCTATATTAAAATCGGTAACAATAAGAAGTGTCTATCGTGTTTGACGCATGTGTAAAAGTTATTTTTATAGAAAAAAAAAAAGAAAGAAAAAATTACGAAGTTCGAATATACGTTCACACTTGTAAATCGAACTCGTTTGACGTTTAATAAATAATAGCTCAAAGTTTATACAAAAATTTAGCAGCATGACCCAGACAGATTGAGGATCTCCTCCTACTTCTACGAATCGAAGTCATGTAGATGAAACTTTACGACATACACCTGTAACAGACACAGCTACCCATTTCCACCAAAGATTTCGGTTATTGTGAGCTCCGTCCATTATCAAGTATTCTTAAATTATGAATAGGATTTGCTCTTAGTTTAGATATATCAATGTACAAAATTAAATATCAATCGACTTCATATATACATGTCTTTTGATTTCCAATTCTATGCTTCAATTATCTTATAAGAATCTACCAAATATTAGACTTTTAATAAAAGATTTATTTATTCATTATTCTATCAATTCATTTGACTCAATGTTAAATAGATATCTTTTATAATAAATCATATCCTGACATCTATCGTTTTAATTTGTAACTGTTTTATTTCTAATTAAAAGTTTGGTTTGTTGTTTTTATTCTTTGTGGTTTGAATCGTGTTTTTAATAAAGTCTTAATAAAAAAAGATTTTTTTCTTTTTATTGAGTGTGTTTCTATATCAACGTATTGATCTTATGGTTTTTATGACTCATCATTAAACTCATTGTTTGTTTGAACATAGGAAAATTAAATAAGTTTAAATTATCAATTCTTGTAAATGCCCCAACCCGATCGTATTCTTTTAGTTGTTTCAATCCTTGAAGGTAATTCTATTTATTTTGTATTTCAATCAAAAACAAAAAAATAGAACAATAACTTCATTATTTAAGGTCGAAATTTTCCAAATCAACCATCATGTCAATTAACTGTTGATGCTAAATTTGATGGTGAAATTCTTACAACAGATCCTGTTGAATTTACATCAACACCTGATATTAATCAAGAATTAGCTTGGGAACTTGATAAAAAAACTTTTCAATTACATAAATTACAACGTAGTGTTATAAAATGTAATGCATATTCAACAACATCATCTGGACAACGTGAAAATCTTGGTTATTTTATTATTGATATTCGACCATTAAATACAAGTCAAGTAATTATTTGTTTTTTTTTTTTGTTTTTGAATAAAATATTTTTTAACTATAAGAATATATTTTGTAGAAAATTCGTTGGCATCATTTGTTACAAACAAAATATCCAAAATTAAAACCAGAATTTAGTATTTGTGCATATATTGAAGATGATCAAACAACAAGAAGTGGATCGGCAACATCAAAAATTAGTAATTAATTTTTATATAGTATTCAATTCTTCTAATTTATTAAAATCTATTCTAGGTAAAACACCATCAAATACAGCTATATCAACAACTACAACATCAAATCGTTCAAAACATCTTCAACCAATTCTTCTTGAAGATAAAGGTTATTATCAATTAGGACCTGATGTTTCATCAGCAGAAATATTTTCATTATCAATAACAATACGTTCTGCAAAAAATCTTATACATGTAAGAATAAAGAAACATATGTATATATAGTAGCATTCAAAATTGATCTTAAATCTAACCGATTGAGTTGCAGGTTTTGTCAAAATTTAGTCTTGTTTTCATAACTGATTATTTTTCTATATCATGCATTTACTCAACTAAAGTAGAAATCCTCAACATGACTAAATATTGTACTTTGCATGTCAAGGACAAGACAAATTTGAAAAATGTTTTATTTGATTTTTTAGTCAAAATATTGTAAACAATGCAGCTAATCTGCCCAAAATATAAAATAGAAGATTTTTAATTTTAATATGTCCTTATTTTCTTTGCGTATTGTGTATGATTAATTTCAAGTGAAACCAAAACACATCATATTTCATCTCTGTAGTCAGGACGTGGGTGTGGGTGTGAGTCATGCGTTCACCCACACTCAAAAAAGAAAACCGTTGTGACGCAGCCAGTGTTCCTTAATAAGCTCTTTGAACGTTACTGAAGATCGTCAGAAGTTCTATTGAGTTTAAGAAAGTTGTAGAAACGTAAAATGTATGTTGGAAAAACGAAATCTAACATTATCATAATGAGTTAGTACGAAAGAGGAAATCTTATTGACGGTTACAAATATTTCTACTATGTTTTTTCAAGGAATTCTTACTTATTACCACTGATGTTTTTGTTGCCTTTCTACTAGTCTGGTATAGAGATATGGAGGCTATGTTTTATACGTATCCGGACTAAGTAGAGTTTTCTAACTCTTACCTTATCATATAGGATAGAGTAAGGTAACCCGGCACATCTCTATTTGGTAGAGCAGATAAAAGACAAAAATGGGACAATATTTTAGCAAAAACAGATCGTATGAACTTTTCTAAAATTTCGAAATCCTATAAAAAGTTGGTATACTTCGTAGTGTTCAACAGAATGACATAATGCTGAGCAATCTGATTTGTTCGTTATTAGAAGTGATTTGTACATCTGAGATAAGTATTACTTGTATGCCGTAAGTGCTAACGTAAAAAGCAAAATACTCAAGGCTATTCAGCGATCCTACCCTGATCGATTTTTAACTAATTTATGTTTCTTCATAAATATTGCCAATTTTTTGAACTTTTTATTTCGCGTAAATTCTAAACACTATGAAGTAATAGAAAAAACCAGACGATCGGCAACTTGTATGATCAATTTTGAGCATTATTGGATATATATATATCTTTTCTATTTGAATATTTTTTGATTCAAAATTTTAGCTTGTATCATCAAGTACAAATTTAAATACTCAAGATGAGTATTTTTTTGATTATGCACTTTTTGGTAATAGAATTAAAACAGAAACATTTCATAATTTAATTCAACCAGAATTTTATCCTGAACGTGCTAGTGTTCGTATACGTTCATCAATTCAATTACTTCGATCTTATTTTGAAACGTATCATCCAATTGAATTTCATTTATATACTGGAAATGATATCATAGGTCAAACACAAATACCATTACATAAAATTCTTAAACCATTACAACAAAAACCAGGCATGGATAAAACATTTGATGTATTAACAGAAGTATATCATCTTCGACTTGTTTCATCAAGTGGACATGACAAAACAGAAACTACTGACGATGAAGATTCACAACCGATTGTTAAAGTTGAAATTTCATTAGCACGAGAAACAGTAATAAATGAATCAAAATCAAATAGTGATAAACAACAACGAAAACGATCCAACAGTGCCAATAATAATCAGAGTTCAAACATGACAGATGTTGAGCATGAAAATAGGTAATAGACTTTTTAAAATTATATACTAATAAGAAAAATCTTGTCATGAATATATCATTTTTGAGAGATATCTTGTCCTATCAGGTTGACTTCATTGAGAATAGAGAAATTACAAAAAATGATTTGAGTCTATGGAGTTTTCTTCTAAAGTTCTAGTCAATTTAACGCAATTTCCTAAAAAAATACTATAATTCTCATTATTAATTGTTTTTAGTATTCCACAACGAGTTCAACAAATATCTATAAATAATCATGCTACAACAGATGATCGTCTACCTTCACCAATTCTTCATACTATAAGTGATCATCATCTATCACATCATTATTGTTTATCAATTGATTTAAAATCACTTCGTAATTTACGTTTATTACATTCAACATATTTATATTGTCGTTATATTTATCCATTTCTTGGTACATCAACACCAATATTAACACATCCACCATTACATATTCCATATACATCATCAGCACCACCTAATGAACATTTATTACCACATGGTTTATGTATATTTAATTTTGCTGTTGATACTGAACAATTAACATCTCATTTTCATCGTGAACCATTAACTATTGAAGTTTATTGTCGTGATCAAGAACGTAGTGAACGTAAAGATGAATTATTTGGTATTGTTCATGTACAATTAGATAAAGTATTACAAGTTGAAAAACAACGTTGTTCATCAAATATTAATGGAATTCTTGGATGGAGACAAACATGGACTCAAGCATTACCTGTTATTGGACATAATACGGAGTAAAGAATTTTTTCATAGAATTATATTTAAAAATAAATTGAATATTATAGAAAACGTGCAGAATTATTAATTACAATTACATTAGAAGATCTTGGTGCACTTCATCTTAATTCATCTACAACACCTCGACCTCATTCTGTTCCACCGGTATCATTTATTATTATTTTTTATCATAATTGAGATGATTATCTTAATACGATTTATTCGAGTCAAATATTTTCAAACTTGATAATAATTAAATAACATCTCGTTCAAATTAAAATAACATTTGAATCCAATGAGTTTTACATCCTACGGACATGCGGAATAGAATACATACACAAAAAAAAACACTTACCCATTGTTTATTTTATATGCACACGTTGACTTCACTGTGTACTGAATGAATATGAAATTATTTTTCAGACGGGGCAAAAAGTACAAAAAAAAACAGCTTACTCTCCATATCTCTACAATAGATGAGTATTGATAGAACTTTCAGATCATATGTAATTTTCAGAGTAATAAAAAAAGTATTCGTATACCATATATAGTTCTTTTTCAATAATTAGATAAAGATATATGATTCATTGTCTTGTTTTATTTAATAGCATTGTGGTATTGATACAATTTTTCATCGTCCACATGATGATGCATATATACAAGCCGCATATGAACTACAATTATGGAAAGAAAGTCGAGAACTTGAATTTGAAAAACATGTTTGTATTTATTTCGTTGATTTATTTTATTTTATTTTTTTTTAAATATATATTGAATAGTTACGGGAAGTTGAAGCAAAAAAAATTTATGAATTAATGGAAGCATTTAAAGAAAAAGATCGTGAACGTGAATCATTACTTCAAAAAAAGGTTTATTGAATTGCATAAAAGAAAAAAATCAAAGTTTTTGTTTTTCTTTTAATCATAATTTACTTGTTGTAGATGAAAGAATATGGAGATTTAGAAAAACAAATGAAAAAAGCTTTAATAGATATTGAAAAACGTGAAAAACAATTGAATGTTAAAGAGCAAGAAGTAAAATTTTTTTTTTCTTTTTGAATATGTCGTCGTAATTTCTTTGTTTTTTATAGGTTCAACGTATGCAAATTGATTTAAAACGTGATTATGATAATAAATATATTGAAATACGTGAAGCATCAAAACGTTTACAAGAACAATCTGAACATCAAATAACACTTGAAAAGTTAATAACATCTTTTATTTATTTCTAAAATCACATATGAAAATATAGTTAAGATAGATATTCCTACAAAAAGAAATGTCTCTTCATCAGATAAAGTTACTATTATTCAATAATGAGACTAATTTTGTAAGTTGTTTTGGGATAGCAATGAGAACACGAGAGAAAATTAACTTACGAGAAAAACCTTCGAACTGATAATATCCGCTCGAGGAAGACAAGAGTGAAACTATCTTGCGGACATCTATCTAAAACATATAAGACGTGACAATATGACATTTAATGCAAATTTTATACGACCATAAAAGGTATCATTTTCAATGAAAAAGTATTGATCTTGTTTCCACTCTTAACTAGAAAAGACCATAAATTTACATGAACTATTTAATTAGGAGACGTTCAATAGGATCTAGTTTTATCGACGACAAATCATAAGACAGGTCAATAGTTTTTGCATAACTTTCCATAGGAACATCATAGACAGCTGTGGTTCTCACCATTCAACAGAGAAGCTCCTAGGGCTATCTAACTTTGATTAGTCAGCAATTGACCAAGCAAGTCAATTTTTGACCAAGATTTTTAAAAACGATATTCTAAAGTCATCTCTCTTGCAATCTTCACAAGGATGACATTTCTAACTTGTTCTATTTGACAGTTATAAGGTTTTCTTAAGACCTTCGATTTCACCGGAAAATCAGCTAGACACTGGCAATTCGTCTTGCTAAGACGGATGGTGATATTTGTCTTAAGATTCGAACTGATTTGACACTAGCATCTCAATATTTCTCAAACGTCAACTCCTGCATTACATATAAAGACTAAATGTGGAAGTTCAAAAATATTGAAATAAGAGAGGCAAATCCATTCGACTTAACATAATGAGCTACTCCTGTCCAGTCACTTTTCCGAATGATCATAGTTGAATTAGCTCGAAATCAAAGGTCTCAGGAAAAGTCTTATAAATCTTGAATGAAATAAGTTAGAAATCTTCGTCTCGCATAGATTGAAAGAGACATGACTTTAAAATATTGTTTTCGAAAATCTCCGTGAAGAATGATCAATTGCTGACTTATCAAATTTTGATTATGACCTACTTTATATTTTGATGTCAAAAATAGTTAACTAAAGATTAAAACTATTTTTTCATTTTAGAAGTAAAAATCAAGCATTAGATGATGATATTATTCGTTTAAAACGTTCCGTAGCCGAATGGGAAAAACGTTATCGTGATAAAGAACAAGAATTTTTTTCTTATAAAGACAAACAACGTAGTGCACCAGAAGTTAAACTTCAAGCTGAAATAAATATGATTACAATTGAAAAGGTAAATTTTTATATTTTATTAATAAAAATTTTTCTTTTATTTTTATTTAGAATGAACTTCAACGTAAATTAGATGCTTCATTAACATCAGCTGAACGTTATAAACAACAATGGCTTAAAGCATTAAAAGAATTTCGACGTCTTCAACAACGTGAGCATGATCAATCAAAATTTTTAGTTCAAAAACAACAACAAGAACTTGAACATATGCGATTAAGGTAAATGTAAAAAATATCAAAAATAAAAATTTTATTCATTTGTTTTATTTTTCTTCTGTATGTATAAAGATATTTAGCTGCTGAAGAAAATGAAATTATGAAAAGTGATCATAAACAATTAGAAAATATTAAAAATGAATTAAATAAGTAAGATAAATAAATAAATAAATTCAATTTCATAAAAAAAAAAAAACTTTTTTTTTTTTACTTACTAAATAAGATTAAAAGAAGTCTCATCAACACCAATAGTTACTGGTGATTACCAATCAAATTTATCTAATGATAATGATCATTTAGAACAAGTTGATCAACAACTTGGTGTTTTAATTGAACATCGAGATACATTATTACAAACAGGAACATATACACATAATGATGCTTTGATACAAGAACTTGAAAGACGAATACAAGAAGCAATGAAACGCAAAAGTAGCAGTAGTCGTTATCAGTAGTTTTGTTGTGTGAATATCTTTTAGAAGTTAAACTAATTTGTGTATACAAGGCTTAGTAGATTTGCGTTTTTTTTTTCTCTTCTTAATTAAATATAATACTCGACTAATGCATATATGATTCATTCTTTATTATTGATTAAAACATAAATGTCTTAGATTTATATAACACTTTACTTATGAATTGATGTTCAAAACAAAAAATAAAAATAAAAAAAAACAATAATCATAATCATTATTTGATGATTTAGAAACGATAATCGTATATACATTACATTGTAATTTTTGATGAATTGCTTCCTTACTCACCTTATAATGGTACTCAGATAGTTTGTATATTTTATCGACACAAGTCAAATTCATAAATGTTCAGCTTTATGTAATATGATATGAAACGAAAATTTAAGAAATGTTCTTATCGTACTTACGTTTCAAATGTTTTAAATAAATCTGACATCATAATACGTCACTAGTTATTTCGTGTGTTTCTTAAAAGCAAACAGATTTTATCATTGATCTTACCATTCAAATAATAAATTTTTTAATTGATGCTATTCGAAATACACGTACATAATGACTGCATTAAATTGTTAACAGTCGATGTACGTGATTATTCCCTATCCATTATCATCATTAGATTCTTCTTTTACCTTGAATCATATGTCTAGACTAAATGATTGAATGAATTGAAAAAAGAAAAATCCAACTATTCTACATGTTGATCACACTTTTTTTTTTTTTCTTTAAAATTCTCTTCATTTTCATATTTTCATAAGTGTTCATTTTATTCAAAACGAAGGTAAGTGTTGACATTGTTGTTTGACGGGAAACAAAAAGACAAAGAAATAATCATTATCTTTATTTCATTGGAAAATGAAAAACTAATAGTTTATTCATCAAAATTAGGTTAAACAAGCGCTTCTTCCGCTCGTTAGTCTCTTTCTTGTTTTTCTTTTGCAAGGAAATAGTCCTCTGTATCATTTGTACACCTCACACTATTGTTTACTCACGCGCCAACAGCAAAAGAACGCACATCAATGATCTAAAATCATACATAAATGAGAGAGAAAGAGACAGAGAACGATATACAAGCATTGCTCTATTTCTCTTCCTCTTGTCAATGTGTAGGATTAATATGTACAGTGATGGTAGTTTGGTGATGACATGCTCTTCGTCTTCTTCTTCGTTTTTTTCTGTACAAATTTTTTCGTCGCACTGCCTTGTTAAACATGCCGCCAAGTTGACATAGTGTGTATATAGTTATCGTCGCGCCGCTTCTCATTTGGTATGAAAGTTTCTTCTTTTTTCCTAATATTTTAAGAGAGAAGATGCAAGTATTAAATATATTTAACTAAAGACAAAAGTCAATTCATTAAATTTGACCTCATTGTAATTGTCGTCTATATCCTTCTTGGGTTTTTTTTTATTTATTGAAATGAAGTCAACGACCTAGAAAAAATATCAAATAGAGACAGTTGAACATCGACTTTACATTTTTGTCTATCTTTACAGAAGAAACACATGCGCAATATATTATTATATTGTTCACATTGACAAGACAATAACTAAAATAAATGAATATTTCATTCTATTATCTTCATATATTATTATTATTATTATTATGTATGTGCAATTTATTCTAATTACAAATATATTTATTGGTTCGACAGATAGATAGTATTGATTTTATTAATAACAATGAATTTTAATATAATTTTTCTTGTTTTATTCATCATTTGTATTCAACAAACATTAACACAAGTACCACCAGTTGTACCATTGACAAGTAAGTTGAAAATCTTTTTATTAAAAAGAAAGAATTTTTTTTTGTTTCTAATTATTTTCATTTTATTTAGATGCTTTAACAGCTGTTTATTGTCATAGTTCAGATGAACCTGGTATAATGACAATACGTTGTGGACCAAATGAAAAAATTCGAATGTTAGATGCATTTGATGCTACAGCAAAACATAGATCACGTTTACCAATACAATGTTTAAAACAAAAAAAACAATTTTTAAAAGATTCAAATGAAGAATCTTATGGTGTTGATTGTAAAGTTCATACAAGTTTTACATCTGCTTGTTCAGGACGTGAAAATTGTACATTACATATGCAACGTATACGTTTAAATAGTGTTCAAGATAATTGTCATAATGAATTAGTTGATTATACAATGGCATTTTTTGAATGCATATCAGGTATACAAAAAACAACAACAACAACAAAATTTCTCGACAGATTCAAACGAAATGTGGATTAGATAGAAAGATATCTCATAGCACGTTCAAATCAAAAACAAAAAAAAAACTTACGAATAAAAAAATAAAGAGATCAGACAAGAGAGCAATTAAACACAAGTGAGATTAGATTACAACATCTTTCTACTATGTGACCAAGCAATAATAATCGAACGTTGCATAATTGATCGCATGACAATTGAGGAAGGGCTAAGACAGAACGAATAAAAATAATACAAGGCAAAAAAAAAAACCATAAATTAAGTTATTTCTTTTTTTTTCTATATAGATGTATTTATACATGAAGTTTGTTCATCACAAGCAATAACTTCGGCATGGGGTACATTACAAACACCAAATTTTCCTAATCCTTATACATCAAGTGATGATTGTTGGTGTAAATTATCAACACAATTACAACATCGTCTATTACTTTCTATTATTGTCTTTCAACTAATTCCTTATGATAGTACGTATTGCATTGATCAACAACAACAAGAACAGGAAAAAAAAAAAAGGTTTTTTGTTTTTTTCGTTTATAGAACGTTGTGCTGGTGCTGGTCTTTATTTACAAAGTAGTAATGAGCAACGAAGCACTCAATGTACTTATTTACAACAAGGACATAATTATTTAAGTGATACAAATACATTATATATTAATTTTTATAGTCGAACACCGACTGTACGTGGAGGATTTTGGATTATTTATGAAGGTTTGAATTTCATCATTCGTCTTTTTGTTTCTATTGAAATAATTGAACCATTTGTTGCTTCTTTTGTATTTTATTTATTTATTAATAGCGAGTCATCCAAATGCAGAAGTTCATTTACATTGTGGACCACGTGAAAAAATTGGTGTACCATTATCATCAAATTCACTTATATCACCTTCTATTTCAACTCCATATGATCATGGTTGGAGTCGTTTAGCATTTAATAATCCACCAAATCCAACGACACCAATCAATGGTCCTATGATGCGTATGCGTTTTCCTGTTACCACTACACCTCATTCATCTGTTAATACAAACTATAGTAAGTATATCAAAAATTCTAATCTGTAATGAAGGTAAACATAGATACATATTGTCATCTCGACTTATGTCATACAATGACCTTACCTTTAATGGCGTCGTGATAATCTTTCGAGTACACATTTATAGCCATTTGTCCTCACATTCTTGTCAATTTTTTCGAATGAATAGAATTGAGGTGTGGCGCATAAAAGATATTAAGATTAAATGTTAGTGTGCTAAGAAAATAAAGAGAAAAAAAAAGGAATGTGTTAAACAAGTGTGAATAATACTTCTTTTGGTTTTCTTAGAAATAAATACTTCAACAGCTGTTGGAGCTTTTACATATCCACATGGAGCATTAACAACATTTGAATTAGCTTATGGACCAAGTGGATGGTATTTAAAACATCCCATTAATGCATGGAATAAAACCTTAATTAAATTTTTACGAACAACAACAACAACAACAACAACAGCAGCAACAACATCTCAATTACCAGTTTCAAAATGGAATTTTACTTGGTATTATACTCGACCAAGACGAACAAAATTATTTACAACACCGAGTACTTCGATACCAACAAAAATAATAACAAGTAAATAAAACAATTATATATGTTAATCATTTTGTTTTTCAATTGATGAATTTTTAAAACATAATAATAAATATTTCATGCTTAGAACCAACAACTATTACTACAACTACAACTACTACTAAACAAACTACTATTGTTTTGTCAACAGCAACAGCAACAACATCGATTTCTACGTCAACAACTCGAACTATTACTGCTCGTCAACGTTTATTATTTACTCATCAACCATGGATATTTTATAGTTCTAGTAATTCTCAATCATTGACAACAACTATCAAACCTATAATTAAATCCTCAACAACTTTACCAGCATTATCTTCTATTATGAAATCTACATTACCATTACCAACTCCTTGGTATTCACCAGCTGGTCCTTTTGATTGGTGGCAATGGCAATGGTATACAAAAAAAACCAAAGCATCATCAATACAATTTCATTATACTACACCAGCTTTAATAACATCTACAAAAATAATTAGCACAAAACGAAGAATACCTATTACTAGTACTACTATCATCACTACTACTCTTAGCACTACTCTTATCACCACCACTACGACTACTACTACTACTACTTATTCTACCACTACGACGACCTCGACAACAACAACAACAACAACAACAACAACTACTACTACTACTACTACTACTCGTACTACCATCACGACTACAACAACTAGAAAAAGTACAACTCGTTTGACAGAGCCATCAAGTAGGATAACAATGAGTACAACACATGAACCTATTGGTGATTGGTTGCAATGGCCTTATAAAGAAATTGATTCAAATAAAAAAGAACCATATGATGATTTCGACGATGAATATAAAGATTGGCTTGATTATTTTACTACTAGTACAAGTCAAGGAATACTAACAACAAGTACTTTATTGTCAATTTCACCTGGACAACAATATTCACAATCAGATTATATTCCAACAAAATCTAAATGGAAAGTTATAACTATCAATACACCACCAGCAAAACGTCATCATTCCCAACAAAATTCTGGTGTTAATGAACGAAATGCTATGGGAATTCAAACTAATGGTTAGAATGATTTTCTTTATGAAGAAAAAAACTCTTGTCAGGGCAACTAACCTCACTGGCTCCGCCACTCCTATTATGTCCAGTGAACATACGAATGAGATAA